AAAAAAAAAATCACAGCTTTCTGTATGTGTGAAACTTGTTCATCATCCAAAATGAACCATAAAGTGGTATTCAGTAGCCACTTTACTGAAAGTGATATTCATTTGTTTGTTTGAGTTTTATCCCTTTATTAATTCATAAGTAATCCAAGATGAACATATATAATATCCCTTCCTCCTTTTAGTTCCACAACAACCACCTTGTGAGGTGTGGGTTAGGCTAAGAGAGGGGAACTGGCCCAAAGTCGGCCAGCCAGCAGCATACACGGCTAAGCTGGAGACTCAAACTCACCATCTCCTGGTGATTGGCTCCAAATCATCCAGGTTTTCCTGCCTAAGGCAGGACTAGAACTCACAGTTTCCTGGTTTCTAGGCCAGCACCTTAACGACCTCACCAACCTGGTTAAATGCAGAACTTCCTGGTGTCCTAAGAGCATTGTCTGTCTGAGATTCTTAGCCATTGCTCCGTCAGTCCAGAAAAAATGAGATAAGTCGCCAAACAGTTAATTTGTTGTATTTGCAATCAATTGAATCATTTTTTTAAAAAAGGGAGCAAAAACACTTGTTATCCAAAATCTATTTATTGTGATTTTACAAATTTATTTGTGCATATACATTATTTATTACATGATTTTGCAAAGCACATGATTATGGCATTTTTCTCTTGGAGGTATTTTATTGAAACTTATTTTTGTTTCCAGTGCGTAAGTGAAATTTCTCAGATGGCTTCCTTCATGTTGCTTTCCTTAGAGAATCTCCTTAATGCCACAGTGACAGCCGTTTTAGCGTAACCCACCTCTCTGGATTCAACTGCAATACAAAATAAATGTGTGTAGAAAGTAAACAACTGACAATAATTGGAAATATATTCAGTTTTATGCTTAGCACACATGTTCCTCTATTCTTTCAGTATTTATCTCATGATCAGTTAATCTTAGCCCTGTACCATAGTTTTGAGAACTGTCAGCATTGTAGGAGCGATGCATTGAAAAGCTTATGAATCAAAACTGGATTATAAACTTGTTAACCGATGGATGGTCCTAATTCTTTGTGCCATTAGACCAGAGGTCTCCAAACTTGGCAACTTTTAAGACTTGTGGACTTCA